TGAGATGGGAATTGAAATCAGTCCCTCCCTCTCTATCAGCACGCCACACCATGTCGGGTCCCCCTCTATCTGTCCCTATGTGCCTGTAAAATGTGTTCTGACAGAAACTGTTTGTGTGTATGTGTAATAGCACACTGGCTCTGATGCTTCCACACAGCTTCCTGCTTCCTCTTAGTCTGCCAAGATACACACTCACACTCACGCACACTCACACACACACACACACACACACACACAGAGGCACAAACAAACTAATCACTGTCAAGTTGAGACAGTAGTGAGGCACTTTTACAAAAGCCTGATATGGTCAGCTGAAGGACATACGTGTAGCCTGGGAATGCACACAGGACAACACATTACAGCTTGGATTCTTTGTTGCCTTAGATCTACAGGATTTTAGAAAATAAATAACTGGAGCAGACACAACACTCCGCTGTCAGAGCTTTAGGACTCAGGCCTGTCTGCACTATAAGAAAAAAAGATATCATGCAGGAACAATTTTTGTACAAACAATATAAACGTACCCTCAGTTTAAATGATACTTTTAAAGCCCAGTTGTGTACCTTAAATATGTTTTTCCCAGGGGAAAGGTACACATTTGTACCTTTTCATCACCAATAGTTTTAAAACAGAACAATAAAATAAGGCTGGAGATAAGACAGGGTGACTGGAGTCAATACAACTTAAGAAATCTAATTCAATGGATTATGGTACAATTATGTTCTCCACTAAAGGTACTGATGATGTACCCTTGAGGGTACCACAGTGACAAGAGGAGTACCACCCTGAGAGTGTGCCATAAGGGAGAATTGAAGAAACAGACCCTACTGAGTTGTCTTGACATTGCCATACCATCCCTTAGATAAAAACTACCCTGTAAGTGGTAGTTACATATGGCCAGTCTAGGCACAAGGTGCTAGGAGTATCCGCGACTGCAAATGCTCTATCTATAACCATGATAGGCTCACTTTCAGACGGTTTTCTAAAGCAGAGTCCTGCTCACGTCCACCTGGTGCATCAAAGATGTTTATTATTTTTTCTCCGGCTCCTTTTTTTTCTAACTTTTGCTAACTGCTACCTGCTAGCAGAGCTGTGGCAACTACATCATACTTTTCAGAGCTGAAGATGACTATTTTCCAGTTCATGCTGCTTTTACTGCATTTGTGACAACTGGGATCTCGGACATTTCAAACTGAGAGTTCCCTACTTCCCACCTCAAAGCGGTCCTCAACTTCAGCTCTTTCAGACTGAAAATGTATGTTCCTAGTAACATAGCGTTTGTTTGGCTGCTGTGGGTGTATAAAACTCTCTTTAAAAGCTTTTTCACCAGAGTTGTTTGGTTACATTCTTTATTTATTTAAAAAGTGGGACTAGGCTAGGATGATTCACTCTTAATAAAGCGCCCTTGATGATTTTTAATAATTGATGTACAGAACGAGTCAAGCTTGCAGCTATCCTTTGGTATCCATGTGTATTCAGCGATGCCATGCACAAATAACGTACTATACACAAACATCAGCTCAAAAAGCTTAGAACATACTATTGCTTCTTGTACTTGGGTGCTGCCATGTTGAAGTGATGTCACAGAACTACAACCTGGTGTTAGAGTGCTTGAGAAAGTCTGACTTTCCAAGTGGGAACTGCTAGTTGGATGTCTCATATAGATTGTTCCAGTTCCCACTTGGTCATGAACACATGATCTGCTGCCCTAGCAGAAGCTCTTCTCTGATGACATCACACAGACCCAGCCAATTCCTTAAAAGACTACACACCTAGCTTGTTTTTCAGAATTTTAAAGTATTTATTTTATAACTACCTCATTACATTAGAATATCCTGAGATACCTACGGAAAAGATCCTTCAGGAAATGCCATTAGTGTCATTTGGAGAGTAATGAATGTTAGTTGCTGATGTCATGGTGCAGGGCGGCAGGACATAATGAATAGCAGTGTCTGCCACAGCAGCAAGAAAACATTCCACTAGGAGCAAGGAATCCTTGAATGCCAGTTTATTAACATTCACACAAGACTGGTGCAATAACTGTTGATGTTGATAATATCTCAGGCAGACAGATAGATGTCTGAGGTGAATTTTCTAATGCAAAATATGGCAGATAATGAAGACAATGAAGGTGAAAAGTTAAAACACTGGGTTATGATTCTGTTTGTAAGCTCTGATAGCATGATGTGAAAAGGTGTGGAGATGGAGATAAGATTTGATGAGATAAAGGGTGAGAGCGGCTGAATCGAAGGAGAAATGAAGCTGTGATATAGGAAGAAAAGAAAACGGAGCAAGTGACAAAGGGGTTGATGAGAGAGAGAGAGAGAGAGAGAGAGAGAGATGCCTACAGGCATGTTTGGCTCAGACTTTCAATGACTCCATTGTGGCATGAATTACAGATGGATCCCTCTTCTACCCAAACCAGGCCTTGGGCATGGAACTTAAAATACACGCTCATATACACAGAAGGACAGCAAAAATCTCAAGTGAGATCACAAATAAGGGTCTCAAAATCTTAGAAATCCATTTCTCTTGTGCTAATCCCAGACATGCTCGACAAACAACTTTATTATGCTTTCCTTCTCATTGGAGGAGTGAATTATTCATGCTATCGCAATGGCATAAAGGAGATGTTCTGCTTATGATAAGGGAGGGTCAAAAGGTGAGGAGGTGTGGAGGAGGATGTAAAATCAACATACAACCCCATTTCCAAAACAGTTGGGACGCTGTGCAAAATGTAAATAAACTGAGGAGGCCATTTGCTGTAGTTTCGAAAGTGAAATGTTTTCCCATTCTTGCATAATACAGAATTTTAGTTGCTCAACAACAGTTTGGGGTCTAAATCTTTGGCACCCTAAATCTTTTACAATAGAGCCATGCTGGTGTAATACATGCTGAATGTGGTTTGGTATTGTCTTACTGAAATAAGCAAGGCCTTCCCTGAGAAAGACATTGTCTGGATGGCAGCATATGTTGCCGAAACCTGTTCGTATCATACAGCATTAATGGTGTCTTCACAGATGTGAAAGTCACCCATGCCATTTACACTAATGCACCCCTATATCACGGATGCTGGGTTTTGAACTGTGCACTGATAACAAACCAGATTATCTTTAGCCTGGAGGATGCAGTGTCCATGATTTCCAAAAAGAAATTCAAATTTTGATTCTTTGGACCACAGGACACTTTTCCACTTCACCTTAGTCCATCTTAAATGAGCTCAGGTTTATTTGCACATCATTGCATTCTAACTTTTTTGGAAAAGGAGTTGTACATACACACAGTACTGTCCAAAAGTCAGAGACCGCCCTTTATTTAATTACCAGTCAAAACAGCCATTAAGTACAAGTTATTCCACTTTTTAGTATCTGGAATAAAGCAGAAGGCATGTACTTGCATTTTCTGCTTCTCATGACTTAAGTAATCCCAAACACATTCAGCGATGTTGATATCTGGACTCTGGGGTGGTCAGTCCCTTGTTTCGAAAACACCAATAGCTTATTTGTTTCATTTGTGAAATATCTTCCTTTTTTGTCTATTTCCTTTTCTTGGCAGCTACGCATCCTTTCAGACACATTGCGCTAAGTTGTCTTCTTACAGTGGAAGGATGGACAGGAACACGTGTGCATTTTTTCAGCTCTGAAGCAACGGTGGAGGTTGATTTTCTCCTCCCTCTCAAATATGAAAGTACTGTTTATCCGATGGTGACAGTATTGGTGTGACTGCCAGGTCTTGTAGTATTGTAAGGAGTCCCATTTTGTCTATAACTTTTAATAATTTTTTGAACTTAGTTTTGGAAACTCCTGCTTTAACACATATTTTCCTTTGACTGACTCCTTCCTTCTGCAAGTGGACTATCTTGTATCTAATATCCATAGAAAAATCTCCTGAAAAATAAACAACGGTTTTGAATGGAAATTAAACAAATGAAAGGTGTTCACTGATGTTTGCACAGTACTGTACACACATATATTAAAGGAATGAAGCTTGGCAATAGAAGAATCTTAAATTCTCTTTATATGTCGCTGGATGTTTTATGGGTGCATAAACACACCCCAAACCCCTCGCTTTCTCTGAGTGATGGCAGCCCTGCCAGTTCAGTAAAGGCTGTGGGATATAGATCAGCTGGGACAGAAAACAGCTTCTCTTTCCTCCAATCCAACAGATACTTGGCCATGTAAACAAGGCAGGATAGAGGGAGACTTACTGTCAAACTTGTAAAACTGTAATAAGGTGTAAAGACTAGAGCTAACTGCACTAACAGTACACAGTCTTAGCAGCCCGAACAAATGGGCTTTAAGCTGCCAGGCTGGGGATAAACAGGAGAAAACAGGTACATTGACCTTAAATAAACTTTTTCAGACAAAAGACTTAAGACTTCAAACACAGATCTTTACATATCGAAAACCATGGGAGTACCCATAAATCAGCCCTAAACTGCTCAAATTCATACCATTAGCATAACATTTACCTTTGGCCACAAAGTGCCGAATCCATCTTCCTAGATGCCCTATTTATTATGCACAAGCAGCATGTTTAATAAAGTTCTGCAGATTTATTCAGATGTAAACCACTGTGCCCCACCAAACAGTAGTTTCTCTGGCCTGGAAGGCTTGGGCATGCAGCCAATAAACAAGCTAAGGGTCTAAGAACAGGGCATGATCAGCCAAATTGCCCAAACCAGACAGATTGTACTCCAATACTGCTTAAACACATACAGCAAAGAATATACAGATAAAAGTAAACAGAACTTGCGAGGAAATTAAGTCAGTGTGGGGCCATTTGTGACCACAGTGGTTTGCACTGAAGAGGACCGTAGCTTTTAAACACGCAAACGCAAATATTGCTTTAACCCAGCATCCCGTTAACCCAGTTTAAAACATCTTTGTAGTCTATGTAATGGATAGTGATGCAGCTAGTTATGAAAAGTCACTTCTCTGCATCTACAAATGAGTTAGCCTCTGTTCTTGGACAGTCTGTAAAACCCTGGTGATACTCACAGAGTAAGGAGAGCGTGAGCAGGGCGAGCAGCAGCATGTTTGTTAGGAGCGCGTCAGCTCCACTGCAGTCCATTCTGTTCTTCTTACAGGTGCACACCTGAACTTTGAGCTCCGTGTTGTTGGTTAGTGGAGGGAAGCCGGAGTCGGTCAGAACCAGCGGCACATTGTAGTTGGCCCTTTTCAGACTGTGCAGTAGCATGATCTGCGAGTGTGTGTCTGTGGAGGGGAGCAGAGAATAGGTTAAACCCCACAGAAAGTTTGTGCAGCAAGCTAAAATAGAGTCTCATGCTGCACAATAAACTGAGTCGCCATATTTTTAGAAACACCTACCATATACAGTTGTGTGCATGTCATTATGACATGTTTCATGGAAAACAACTAAACATCATCTAATTAAAACACAAAATTTGCTTTAAGTCTGTTCCCTGTACAGAGTTTGTTAACGGAGTGACACCAAAGCATTTTAAAAAATTGTAGGAAGAATAAGCAAATTGCAGGAAGAAACAAAAAGAGCTTGTGTATCCATGAAACATTCCTCCTCCCAAATTTCAGTTATTCCATAACTCCATTTAGCTTTCAGTGGAGCACTTTTGACAGACCTCTGTCAGCTGTGCATAGCTGTAGCCCTAACAGAGACACTGAGCAGACTGGGTAGTGGCCCATTTAATAAGGGCTGAAGTAGCTAGTCCACTTCACCGTCATCCACTGAACCCCTGGAACCCCTCAGTCCAGACGTAGCATTGATGGCTGTGTCTCAATACACATACTACCATTCTAAACAGTATGTTCAAAATAGTAATGGCACCACTGGTTGTGTACTAATTTGACAAACTAGTACACCATTTACTATAGTGTAAGCTGTTTGAGACGCAGCCGTTTGGTATTGTCAGATGGAGTGGAAACACATTACTTTTATTCCCACTAAGAGCTGTGTTTGCAAAAACTGGAGCGTTTCCAGCACATATAACCCTCTTCATTTTCTGATGCTGGGTGTAGCTAATTTAGAGCTTTTAATCTCCATATTTATAGCTGAGTATGGTTGTTAAAAACAGCATATTTGAGTGGAAATGTGTGAACACTGAATGCTCTTGTAAATTAAAAAAAAAAAACAATAAATGAGGCATATTTTAAATCAGTCACACTTGACAGAAATACATAATTCAAAATGGCCTTTTCAGAATCAAGTTTACAAGAACTGCCTAATTGAGAAGAGAATTTATTTGACATTTTAAAAAAATTATTGGCATCTATGGCTTCATGATTGACAGCTTCATTCATGTCCTGCATTGCAAACAGACATGCCCCCCAAGTGGAGAGGCACTGACGATGGAAGTAGAAGCAGAACTCTGCACCAAAAGCAGTGGACATGTACTGTTATCCAGAAAATATGTTGCCACCCCCTTTTTTGTGTTTCTCCTTTACAGATAAACCAACTTTTCCACCTCATCCAAACAACTACTTTTGTGATATGTAGACACTTTTTTCCCCAAATTTTTTATGTTCATAAAAGAGGTGGATGAAACACACTCTTGTGACTGACAAACTGTGCAGTAACAGATGAACTACAGTCTGTAATTGAAAGCCTACGAATTGCACCTACATGGAAGGTGTTTCTGATAAAATGGCCAATGAGTGTAGATGTGAGGTAGGTGTATCTAATAAACTGACAATGCAGTGTATTTATGACTCTCTTTCTTTGTGTACAATTGTTTGTAGAACAGTATGTGTAGCCCTCAAACACAGCTCACACACACACACGCATGCACGCACGCGCACACACACACACACACACACACACACCCTGAACAAACTCGAACTCGACAGTCTGTTTCCTGCCCCATTTCCTGGCTGTCACTCAAAGCAAATGTCTGAGCTCAGGATTTACCCTATGTCAGTCAGACTCAAACCAGAAGCCACCCAACCCTGAATCATCACCTCTTTCTCTATTTCACTCTCTGTCTATCTCTCTCTCTCTCTTTCTCTCTCTATCACCTGATATCAGTTGCTAAAACTCTAGCTGAACACAAGCCAGCACACACAAAGCCTTTTACACCTACTCCATTTGAGATTCTTTGTAAGATTCAGGAGAGGAAATCAAGCTTAAGAATCAACAGACAAATAGTGAGGATTAGCAGCACTTTCAGTGGAATTACTTCAACTGTTCTGTTTACCGTCTACTGTCTCTAATGCTGTCCTTTTCTCTGACAGGAAAGCTTATCCACTGTCAGGATATATGAGAGCCAAATCTGTATTTGTTCAAACATAAATACACCCTGACTTTCCATTCAGACATTTCTGTCCCTGGTTTTGACATGAGACCGTTCTCAGTTCAAAGCCTGTCTCCAGCTCCTCAGTCACTGCTTTGTGATACTTTGGATCCTGTCATAATTTAAGCCCAACTGTGTCACTGCTCTAAGCACACTTGCAGAGGCGACTCACTGTTGATCCTGGAGATCTTCCACGTCTTCTCCAGACCCGGCTGTTTCCCCAGTTCTATTTTGAAGGGGTCTGTGTTGGGGTGGATGTCTTTGTCCCGTGCTCCGATCACTGCTACGTTCACCTCCTTGGCATCCTCACAGACGCGCGTCACCGAGGGGACCACATAGGGTGCGTTGTCATTTTCATCTTCCAACGTGATAATTAGAGTTCCTGTGCCTGTGGCAGGGGGGTTACCTATGAGGGGAAACCAGATTAGAAACTACATCAACAAAGGCCTCACTGATAAATGGACATCAGAAGCCTTAGAAGTTGCAGTTTCAGCCAGTGTAATTTCACATTAATTAATATGATTTAATGAAATGAATGTAATGTGAAGTAATTTCAGTTGAATTTTATGAAAAGTTATTGTTATGCATGTACTTTCCGACATCAACACAAACCAGAGGGGTACACTCAAGCCTGTTGATATAGAATGCAAGGAAATGTAAATGTAATTCCTATCAGGCTATCAGAGATTGTGGGCCTTGTCACCCCTTTATGTTCCATTGTAGCACTACTTAATGACCTTTCTTCACTTTTAGCACCCAATCACCTCAAATCCTTTATTTTAATATCACTTACCATTGCCAAAAAAGTTATACTGTTGAACAGGAAGAACAGAACCAAACGTTTAATAAAGCACTGGCTTAACCTTCTTATGGATCACTGCAACTTGGAAAAACCTACAGCAAATTTTTAAAAACAATACAAAATCATTAAAGGAAACCTGGTCACAATTTTTACAATATATTGAGAGTTGATTTATCCAAACTTTTTAAGAAAAAGGTTAAAACCCATACATGGAATTTGATAGCTACCCACATCATAGCTATAGCATTAAAAAAAGGGAAGGGGGCATTACTACCCTGTGTATTGTTTGTGAAATGTTCTTGTTCATCTGTCCGGACTTGTCCAGTTTGTCCATTGTTGAAATAGTTCTTGTTTTTCTTTCATGTCTTTCACCTATCTGTCTTTCCTTTCACTTAAAGGGGTGGGACGGTTGGTGTGGGGGTGGAGTGGTAAGAGGGTGAGTGACTGTGGGTGGAGGGGGTTTTTGTGGTTGTGGTACAACTTCACCTTATATCTGTACGATTATTAATAAATGATGAGTTGTGACATTAATAGTGAAACAAAAAATGAAAATTAATGTCTCTGTAATAAAAAGGAGGGGGGGGGGCGCTGGTGTTGTGGCCAAGGAATACTGGCCCTGAGGATTTATTTAAAAAAATAAAAAATAAAAAAGTAAATGTAAATCCTTATGGTTATGTCTAACTATGTAATAATAATATAATTGCATAAAAATAACTATGTAATACAACCATATAATGTATAGCAAAACAACTCAATCTAAAGGTTAATACGGGCTGTGTATTCATTCATTCTTTTAGGTACTGATTAGTATAAACTACTCATAACAACTTCTCATACTCATAATAATGGAAATAATAATAACAACCAGGAATGAGAATCTCACCATAGCACATGGGTGAACTGACAAACATAGTCTCATCCTCACAATTATGCAAATAATAATAACAACCAGGACTGAGAATCTCACAATACCACATGAGTAAACTGACAAACATATTCTCATCCTCATAATTATGCAAATAATAATAATAATAACCAGGACTGAGAATCTCACGTCAGTGAACTGACAATGAACACCTCTTCATTTTGCACAGCCATGTGATAAGTGACACCACAAAACAGCGCCTAAAAGAGTTCCACAAAAGCTGACAACACACAACAAGGCTGAACGTGTAGCTTGACAAGGAAACTGCTGCAACTTACAACTGAGTTACAGGGAACAAGGCAATCAGCCTGCCTTGAGCTCAGTTGTGTAAAACCAATTGAGAAAGAAGGTTTTAACAAAGCATATGTTTCCTTTTCTCTCTCTCTCTCTTCTTTCCTGCTGTTCAGCAACAGTGGCCTAAAGAGAGTCTGCCCATGCCGTCCTGGCTTCTTTACAGCCTAAATCAATTTCAATAAAATACACAAGAGAAAAGTGCTTAACATTTAGAGCTGGGCTCAGTATATTGGCCTCCCATGCTGCCTGGCGGTGCCATTGTAAAATAAGGAGGGTTAAGTGCTTCAGCCAGAGACCGAGGCTGAAAGGGCAAGACTGAAGCATGTGTAAAACCACATGGAATAAATGCTTAAAAACTGACATATGTCACATGAACTTGATTTTTCACACTCATTGATGAGTTAATATATTTCAGGCTAAACACAGGAGAGGCTTAACTTACATTTTGGAAAAAAAATACACCAAGAACATAAAAACAAGCTGTGAAGTCACCCATCACCTGCTGGAAGATTGATCAAATGTCTCTTTTTTATGAGCAAATCTTTTAAGCAAAGTTTTAAGAGCTTATTTCATCATTCCTCTCTCCTAACTCTCATATCAGCTTAATAGAAAAGTGCAGAAAACAAACAGCATGTCGGTTTGAACACGGAGAAACATGGATCATCCGGATCATGCCTGAGAGAGGCACTGTTCGCCAGCACAGGTTGCCCTGTTCACATCAGATTGTACTTTTATTGAATATTGCCAGCGGTAAAAACAGAAATGTCCACTGTGTGAAACGTGACGCTTCCACCAGATTAGCAGCTATTGAAAAAACCACAGAGTTATAAACAGCCCCAAGGGTCACTGGCAATTAACACCAGATGACATGATTAATAATTACAGAATGATTTTCCTCCTAGTTTTGCCAGAAACATGCAGGCCTGCGAGGAGAGGGAGGGCAGGTTGTCAAAGTGCTGGCGCTACAAACGTCACTCCAGCAACAGAAATCAGATTCATCTCAAAGGCACTGTTGCAGTGTCAAATGGCTCATGGAGAAGTGACAGAGCCTTCGTTGCCACGTTTCATTGATTTTCTGCTCATGAGCTATTCTAAAGACCTGCCACTCTCTCAGTAGTGCTCAGAGAAACTCCAAAGATCAGAAAACCGTGTGTGGTGCTATTACTAACATGTCAGACATACTGGTGCTTACTCACCGCCTCTTCCACAGCACAAAAACATCCGTCTGCGCAACTGTAAAATGAGCAGCCGCGTACACACCACAAAACGTTAAGTTACATGACGCTTATGCATATTCAGAACACAACATGACACATTCACAAATTAACAGCACTAACTTTGCACTCTAAGTTGACACAGCTGAATCCTCAAGCTTGGAGAAGCAGTCACAGTGATTATTCTATTCTATTAATTAGATTATGCCACATGACATGTAATGATTTTGGTTTCCCAAAAACAGCCACACAACTGAGCTGTTTGTCCTTATCTGTTTTTGCTAAAAAGTTTTAGTCACATAGTTGCATTTAGGCAATGGTTGGCTGGAGTTACATATGCATTTTTAAATAAACCATGTACATCCACAGAACCATACTGTAAGGACTTAATGCCTGCACTTGAAATCAGCAGTTGAGCTAAGACTAGTTCTCTGCAGGCTGTATCACAAGCACAATTTTGGACTAAAATGAGTTTGAAAGTTACACTGCGCAGTGAATTTAAAACTGGAAGATGTGCTGTAATCACAACATGTAGCAAACATGCTGTTAGAGGCATTAAACGCTTTAAATGTCTGGTTCCTATCACCACCACTCTGAACAATTCTGATTCGATAATTTTCTTTAGAATGGAGCATTTCACACAAATCACTTAATTATGTACAAATACTTTTTAAGGCTAGAGTAATAATTAGGTCCATTTGAGAATGTTTTATCTGGGTAAAAGTTTGACTGCCTTTTAATTTGACTACCTTTTCTATTGTTGTACAACAGGTATAGACCTGTAGAGACAGTAACCCTCAGAGACAGTCACAGCCTCAAAACTGTATAAAGTCACTGATGCCTGTAGAGAACATTTCTATCTTCATAATCACTAAAAACAACAGCAGTTTAACATGTTTTCATTGTCTTTATTACTGATATCCCTGACTCTGGTAATCATACTTGTGACTTTTTACAGAATCAGAAAATGCAAACACAATCAAATGAGAGAGAGAGAGAGAGAGAGAGATAGAGAGAGAGTGTCTGTGCTCTGTGATAAACTAACAGAATAAAATGTCTCTTTGGAGATCGAGGAGTAAGTGCATAACATTGCTAATGCTTCCTCTTGCCACAAGGGACACAGAAACCAAACCTTCGTCTCTCTAATGACGACTTATTAGGGCACAACACTTTCAAAATTCTGGTGAGTGATGCTCTGATGGCTTGGCTCATTTCTCTTGTGTTGTGATATCTGTATTGTTTTGTCTTTGTACAGCTTACATTCTACCACAACGAGCACATCAATTAGTAATGAAAATACAACAAAAAAGGTGAAAAAATGAGCAGAATTATTGATATTAGTTGTCTGAAGAACATGTGAAAAACCGTACTATAGTAGATTTCCTGTATCTCAGTGTTACATGCCTGTATACCCCCAAACTTGTATGATAAAATGATTAAAAAAAAATGATCATTTACTGAAAATCCTAACCTATCACATATTCCCCTGATATTATGGGTGTGATCAGAATCTACAAAAATTTGATCTGGAAAATCGGCTGATTTTTGCTTCAAACACATGATTGGTTGATTTATTTAGATCATTTCAGCCCATGTGTGTTTGGTGCCATTTTATGCAAAGTACATAATGTGAACCAGCTATGCATTTCCTTTTTTAGTCATTGCTACTTTGCTATTGTAATAAGTACAGTATTCAACTATATCAACTATTTTATATTACATTGTGCAATGTATGCAAAGCATTACTATTCCATAGCAGCCCTGGGACTCTCATCTTCTCAACTTAGTAGCACAACCTGCAGTAAAATAAAGCATATGATATTCCTGTAATTTCAAGTTTAATTTTTTGGCACATTAACAATGAACATTATAATAAACAGCAGTATTTCATGTGGAAATATTCACTTTATACACAACCTTTTTGTCCACTAGCATATTGCTAATTTCTGTTAGCGCCAAATCAATGGAGATGTACACACACTGAGTTTAATATTTCTGTGGTGTTAATTTTTCAATTTAAAGCCTATATCTAAATATCTGTGGAGGAGCCTGTGAGCATGTTAGCAGCCTTCTGCGCTTGTTGATGAACAAAATCATGTGTGTTTACTATGGTTTTGTGGTATTTTCTTTGTATGCAATGCAATGTCTGATAGTAAGCATTCAAGCTTCAT